GTGTTATACTCACCCCAAGATCTTTTTCCTTGAGTGAGGTTTGTAGTCTCTGGCCCCCTAGACTGTACTCCGTCTGCAGTCTTCTTTGCCCTTCCCCAATCTTCATGACTTTGCACTTGGTGGGATTGAACTCCAGGAGCCAATTGCTGGACCAGGTCTGCAGCCTGTTCAGATCCCTTTGTAGTTCTGCCTGGTCTTCGATCGAGTGAATTCTTCTCATCAACTTCACGTCATCTGCAAACAGGGACACCTCAGAGTCTATTCTTTCCGTCATGTCGTTCACAAATACCAGAAACAACACTGGTCCTAGGACTGACCCCTGTGGGACCCCGCTGGTCACAGGTGCCCACTCTGACACCTCGCCACGTACCGTGACTCGTGCTGTCTTCCTGACAAGTATTCCCTGATCCATTGTAGTGCCTTCCCTGTTATCCCTGCTTGGTCCTCCAGTTTTTTGCACCAATCTCTTGTGTGGAACTGTGTCAAACGCCTGTGTGTGTGTGTGTGTGTGTGTGTGTGTGTGTGTGTGTGTGTGTGTGTGTGTGTGTGTGTGTGTGTGTGTGTGTGTGTGTGTGTGTGAGTGTGTGTGTGTATGTCGTGCCTAATAAGGTGAACTTGGCTAACAGGCTGAACTCCGTTAAACATTGAACTGTTTCTCCCTAAAAATTTACAGATTAATAAATATATTTTTTTTTCGTTGACATATATAAAAAATTTGGGGGGACCAAACCTAACTTAGATACCTCACCTAACCTAAGTCAACGTAATTATTTTAGCAAAATTCTTTATATATCTTCAGTTGCAGCCTTGCAACATTCTATAGCTACGGATGACGCACTGAGAAGTGTGAAAGTACCTGACCTAAAGATTTCCACTCCCCTCCTGTGGCTTGTATATATATATATATATATATATATATATATATATATATATATATATATATATATATATATATATATATATATATATATATATATATGTGTGTATAATACAAACTCTTCATCGTCCAGATCTGACTCATCTTTAGGTGACGGGAGAGAAACGTTATTATGTTTGTGTGAGGCTTCATGGGCGATGAGTTCATCATTTTCTTTGGTTTTAATATCGAGAATATTCCCTCATTTATCATCATTTCAGTGATGTATTACCCCAGCAGGTTTAATGATTTGAAAATAATACAAACATAACTCTAATTTACCAAACGAAATTTATACTTTTGAAGTTGCTGGATATGTCTGGAGATATTTTACCTGCGCAAAAATTCTTAACAGTGAAAAATGGGTTCTGTTGTAGTTACCCCAAAAATGTGCATATCCTTAAAACTGTATGTTTGTGTGTGTGTGTGTGTGTGTGTGTGTTGTGTGTGTGTGTGTGTGTGTGTGTGCACCAGCAGGTGAAATACTCGGAAACACTCTAAGTCACCATGCACACCTCACTGATGTGAAGTTCAGTATCCTTCGACACGCTGCAGGTAACCTTCATCCTGCAGTCATCCTCTACGCTAGCGACTTCAACAAATCCCTGAGCCTCTTCGACATCACGACGACGAATTCACCATGAACACTTGGGTACCTGTGGAATTAATGATACTTTGTAAACAGTGAAGTTCATGGGAGGACGTTGAAAAGACAGACACCAGGAGAAGTTATTAAGTAAACTGACGCATTTACATTGTTTAAATAGGTTATTTTGGCTACGAAACGGAACCTAAATTAAAGGTGTAAGCACTGCAAATGTAGAAGAAAAAATATAATTGCACAGAGGAACATAATTGAGACGTTTCGCCTGTGAAACAGACTTCTTCAGGCAGAGTGTGACTTTCCTTAAATTTAACTGTTGGTGTATCTATGTCATTCATATTCTCAGTAAACGTATGCTCCTCAGAAAGGGTCTAGCAAAAGTTTAGCTGTTGCAAAGTTTGTCCAAATTGTTAAGATTAAGGTAAAACAGCAGAAGTCTCTCTCTGCCCTTCGGCCTTGATTCCGGAGGGCAGACTTGTACAATTTGGTGCCGTTTAAGTCAGTACATTGTGCACCTCATACCCACCCCACGTAGAGCAAGAACAGACTTATACACAAAAGGCTTGGGAACTAGGCCCTAATAAGGGTTAACAGAAGTACATCTGGACATATATATTTATAATTTATATTTCATCTGTTTCAAACAAATTTAGAATATTTGCATAAAATGTCTGGTACCTTATTTCCATTAATATCATTAACATATCACATAGGTAACTGAAATACATATCGCTGTATTTCGCAGTAGGTAAACATTTAAAGGCATCATGTTCAAGAAAGGTCTATGAGGCTGATCACATAATTTGCATTTAGATTGATCATTGTCTATAAGCCTAACTGATAGCAGTACTGGTAACCTGGCTACTTCTACATCAGTCAGTGTTGCCATTGCAACTTTCTTTATAAATGTGATTGTTTTCGTTCATGTTGTCATTATAGATCTCCTGAGGCTTCTAACTATATTCTTGTGACTTTCAGGT